GAATGTGTTGATATATTTTATATCTCTTTATTATTTATATTTATATTATATATTATTTATAATATATTATTTATGTTATTTTATTATTTATTATTTATATCTCTCTCTGGTTTCAAAATTTGTTTATCGCTAATAAGAGAATATATGAAGCTGATGAATAGAATAAGGTGGAAAAATAGGTTATTAAAGATATTGCGAGAACTGCTAGAATTAAAAGAAAAAGAGAGAAGAAGAAAGAAAGAAAAGAATCTGAGGTGTTACAAAAGATTTCTTGCATTAAAGCTTTAGTTTGCATATCAAGACCACCCCCCCCCTTCCTCTCCTCTGCTCTTCTTTCCCGCTCCTTTCTTTCTCCATCTCATCTTCTCGCCATTTTCGGTTTCCTCTCCTTTCTTGCCTCCCTCTTGTTCTTTCCGCCCGGTCTGCCTTTCATGGCCTTCCTTTCCCCCTTCGCTTCTCTCTTCCCACTCATCTCCCCCTTTCCCTTTGCCTTTCTCCCCTCCTTTCCCCTCATCCGCCTCGCCTCTCTCTCCTCTTTCCTTTTCTCCTTCTACCCTCTCCCTTCTCCCTTCCTCCCTCCTTCCTCTTCCTCTTCCTCTTCTTTCTCCCCTCTCCATCTCCCTTCAGTCCCTTCTAAAGAATCCAAGTGCAATCTTGTTTAAGCTTCACTTATGGCGATGGGGAGGGAGGGGGAGGGGGAGGAGGAGAGGGGGGGGGGGGGAGAGGATATCTTATATAAATGAATAGCTATATATATTCGCAGCCTTTTTTATGAATGGTTTTGCTGTGCGGAGGAGCTAGTGGACGCACAGGGCGGTCCGGGTTTTGCGGCCGATAGTGACGAATGAATGAAGGGCAAGTCTGAACGTGTCTCGAAACGTGTTGAAATGTTTTGAGCAAGAGCGTGCGTGTGTATGAGAGAGAGGAGAGAGAGAGAGAGAGAGAGAGAGAGAGAGAGAGAGAGAGAGAGAGAGAAGAGAGAAAGAGAGAGAAGAGAAAGAGAAAGAGAGAAAGAGAAAGAGAAAGAGAAAGAGAAAGAGGAAAAGAGAGAAAAGAGAAAAGAGAAAGAGGAAAGAGAAAGAGAAAAAGAGAAAGAGAAAGAGTAAAGAGAAAAGAGAGAGAGAGAGAGAAGAGAGAGCAGAGAGAGACAAAAAGCATGAATTATCACACACTATATACGGCCAGGCCTTCGTTATCTATGTATAGGGGAAATTCCATTACGTTTAGTCGTTTCACAAATAAAACATTATTGTCAGATCTCGCTTGTCTCAAATTAGTGGACCTTGTCTATGGCATAACGGCCGCAAAAACCCTCTCTTTAATAATTGATTACGAAAATGCGGAAGTTTAAAACGACAAAATAATCGAATGAATAAAAAGGTCAACATTGTCTTTTGTCTCTCGTTCGTATTTAAGTGTGCGGGAAGGAATAGAGATTATGATTAAGAAGGAGAAGAAAAAAATAGTAAAAATGAAAAAGGGGGAAGCGCGTGGTTGCCAACTGAAATGGAAGTGTCATGATCGTCGAGTCATAAAGATTATTGCTTAAGCCAAGGACGGTGTGAATAGGAGGGTAAGGGAGGGGCCGGGGCGCGGGGGGGGGAGGGGAGGGAAGGGGTAGTATTTTTGGATGGGAGGGGGAAGGGAGGAGTGTTAATTCTGGGAGTCGGGAGGGGGGAGGAGTAAAGTATTTCTGGGAATGGGAGGGGGGGGGGGAGAGGGGAGGGGTTAATTCTGGGAGAGGGGAGGGAAAAGGATAGGAGGAGGAGGGGCGGGAGTAGTTAATTTCTGGATGGAAAAGGGGAGGGAGGACTGGAGGAGGGGAAAGGGGTTTAATTTCTGGAGTGGGAGGGTAGGAGGGGAGGCGAGGGGAGGGTGAAGGGGAGGGGTAGCAGTATTTGTCTGGATGTTGAGGGGGAAGTTGGGGAGGGAGTGGAAAAGGGGTTAATTCCTGGGAGGGCGGGAGTGAAAAGGAGGGGGTATCTCGGATGGGAGGGGGGAGGAGTAGTAATTTCCTGGATGGTAAGGGGGAGGAAGGAGGGAAGGAGTTTAATTACTGGGAGGGGGGAGGGAAGAGGAAGGGTATCTCAGGATGGGAGAGGGAGGGAGGGGTAGTATTTCTGGATGAGGGGAGGAGGGGGAGGAGAAGGGGTTTTTGTATGGGAGTGGGGGAGGTGGGGTGTTCAGGGGTAGGGGGATAGTAACATCCGCCTGGTATTTGCCCAAAATGAGGCAGTTAATGGTATAAGATGTTTAAGGAAATGATGAAAGGCAGCAAAAAAGAGAAATAGGAAAAAATATGTAGAGCCTATTTTAGTAAGGTGAAAAAAAAAGAATGAAGAGAATGGAAAGCATAGAGAATTGACGAGATCGAGGAAGAAAAAAAGAAATGAGCTGAAGGACAGCAAGAAAGCGATAAATGAAATAGAGGGAAAGGGAAATCTAGAACGAAGAGAAAAGATCGAGAAAAAAATCGCGAGAGAAGGAGAAAGTGAAAAAAAAAATCGAGAGAGAAGGAGAGAAACGAGGGGGAAATAAATCAGAGAGGAGAGGAGGAACGAGGAAGGGATAAATCAAGAGAGAAAGGAAGAGAGAAGAGCGAGAGAAAAATGCAAAAATAAAAGACGATTTCCCGTTTTTTGTTCACGCCCAGATGTCAATCACACGATGTCACGTGACTCCGTTTTTAAGCCTGGCGCTCGAGGGGGTGGGGGGGGGGGAGACTTCAGTGCCCGTCTGTGCGGTGGATCTTCTAGAATAGTCGTTTCGCTTAATTAAACATCAAAAGGGACGGTGATTGAGGTAGATGTCTTAATTGATGCTAATTAGCGTATATTAGCAGGTGATTTACGGTCCCTTATTATGAAGATGGTATTAGCATTGCTATTGTTGTTGTCGTTACTGTTGTTACTGTTACTACTGGCTCTGTTACTATTGCCTGTTGTTCTCCCTTTGTTTCCGTAATGTTACTACAATTTTTTTTATATCTACCTTTGTTTTCGTTAACATGTTACTACTACAATTTATATTTCTGCCCTTGTTTCGTTAGCATGATTATCATATTATTCCGTTCTTGTCATTACCATCATCAGTACGATTATTAAACAGCAGCCAACGCTCATTACCCAGATGCCACAACCCATTAATTAATTCACTCACACATTCCCCCCATCCCATTCCTTCGTCCCCGGGGAATTAGCGTGCAATATTGCTCTTTCAGCCGAGTCCCTGTCTGCATAACGAATCTACTTTCACCTGTATTTTGGAGAGGGGCGGGGAGGGGGCAGGGGGAGGTGAGGGGGGAGGTGGGGAAGAGGGGGCTGGTTCACCTGTCTGGGAAGTGTTCGTTTTTCTGTGCTTGGTTTGTGAAGCGTTGGTGGGTTGTTTGTTGTTGTTTTTTTTAATGTTTGTTGGAGTGTTCGGGTTGGCTGGGTTGGGTTTTTTTTTTTAGAAGAGATTGATGTTGTTGGTTGTTGTATTGTTATGTTATCTTCGTTGTTATTATTTATTGTTTTTAGTTGTAGTAGTTGTAGTAGTTAGTAGTAGTAGTAAGTAGTAGTGTAGTAGTAGTAGTAGTAGAGTAGTAGTAAGTTAGTACTAGCAGTAATTGCTATTGTTAATTTGTACAGATGGCTGTCATTTTTAAGTTAGTCCTAAAAACTTTTATATTTTTCTATCGAATGCGCCACACACATACACACACATACATACATATACGTAAATGTGTGCGTGTGTACATGCATTTATATACACAGCATACAAAAGCTGAACCGCACGCCAGAATAGCTTAGAACCGCGAGGCCGGGCGCTGAATGCTGAAGGCGGCGCCGCTGTGGCCATTGCATCCGAAAGCAGCGAGGGAAAGGAGGCGACGACTGCATGGCCGCCGCTTCGAGCCCCGGGATGACGCTGCTGCTGTGCCTGCATGACCTGGAACCGCATGGCCTGGAACCGCATGACCTGGAACCTCATGACCTGGAACCGCATGACCCGCCGAGCCCCGGGATGACGCTGCTGCTGTGCCTGCATGACCTGGAACCGCATGACCTGGAACCGCATGACCTGGAACCGCATGACCCGGAACCGCATGACCTGGAACCGCATGACTTGGAACCGCATGACCTGGAACCGCATGACCCGGAACCGCATGACCTGGAACCGCATGACCGGAACCGCATTGGACCGCAGTTGACCTGGAACCGCATGACCCGGACGCATGACCGGAACCGCATGAACCGCATGGCCCGGAACCGCATGAACCTGCATGACCGGAACCGCCATGACCTGGAACCGCAACCCGAACCGCATGACCCGGACCGCAAGACCCCGGCATGACCGAACCGCATGACCCGGAACCGGACCCGGCGCATGACCCGGAACCGCAAGACCTGGAAACGCATGACCCGCCGAGGCCCGGTTGTGGGACCCGCGGCCGCCCCCCCCGTCCCGGGTCGCCTGCGGGGACCCCGCTGGCTCGCTCACTTCGTGGGTTTTTTTCTCGTGTTTATATTTTTTTTGGTTTGTTTTGGTTTAGGTGTTCGTGTTAATATTTCTTCGTTTTTTATGTATTGTTCGTCTTTTATTTCGTAGTTTTTATTTTTTCTCAACGTTTATCGATCTTCATTTTCCTTTTTATTTTTTTTAATTGGTTTAGGTGGTTGTGTTAATATTTCTTTCGTTTTTTATGTATTGTTCATCTTTTTCGTAGTTTTTTTTCCTCAACGTTTATCGATCTTCATTTTCGTTTTTTTCTTTTTTTTTTCATTTGATTTTTTTTTTATTTACGCTTGTGCGTTTGTTGTTATTTGTTTTATTTTTGTTTTTTCGTTGGCTTTCCGTTTTGGATTTTTTAATTGTGTATATTCATTCGATTTTATTAATGACTGTTAACATTAAAGAAACTTGTTTATTTGTTTATCATTCGCTAGAAGGCATATGTCAGACATTGCAAGATTTATATGACGTTATTTTAAAAAACTGTATAGACAGAAATTAGAATCTTAGTTGTGTTGGTAACCTGTTGAAAAAGGAAAAGAAAATAAAGATAAATACAACTCAGATAATGATAACCTATTAAAAAAGAAACTTAGTTGTGTTGGTAACCCGTTGAAAAAGGAAAAGAAAACAAAGATAAATACAATTCAGATAATGATAATATTAATCCAGGAATTGCAGACCCTACAGCTGCCCCATCCCCTGTGTTGCACATGACCCACGACGTCCCCATCCCCTGTGTTGCACCACCGAGCGTCCCCATCCCCTGTGTTTGCACGACCCACCCGCCCCACCTGTGTGACATTCCCCATCCCCTGTGTTGCGTCCCATCCCCTGTGTGCATGACCCACCAGCGTCCCCATCCCTGTGTTGCACCATGACCCACCGAGGTCCCCATCCCCTGTGTTGCACATGACCCACCACCCATCCCCGCACATGACCCACCAGTCCCATCCCCTGTGTTGCACATGACCCACCGAGCGTCCCCATCCCCTGTGTTGCACATGACCCACCGAGCGTCCCCATCCCCTGTGTTGCACATGACCCACCGAGCGTCCCCATCCCCTGTGTTGCACATGACCCACCGAGCGTCCCCCAATCCCCTGTGTGCACATGACCACCCAGCGTCCCATCCCCTGTGTGACCCACCGAGCCCCCATCCCCGTGTTGCACACACCCACCGAGCGTCCCATCCCCTGTGTGACCCACCCGTCCCATGACATGACCACCCAGCGTCCCATCCCCTATGTTGCACATGACCCACCGAGCGTCCCCATCCCTGTGTTGCACACGACCCACCGAGCGTCCCATCCCCTGTGTTGCACTTGACCCACCGAGCGTCCCATCCCCTGTGTTGCACATGACCACCATCGCCCCCGTGTTGCACATGACCCCCAACGCCGAGCGTCCCCATCCCCTGTGTTGCACGGCGCCCCCGAGAGGCGGCTGCGAGCGAGCGGGGCCCCAAAAAACATCACATAATTGCGAGAGAGATTAGCCAATCCCTTTTTCACGTGTTGCCTTGTGCTACTGCGATTGGACCGGGTCTCAAGGTGCCTTTGGAGTGGTGGGGGGAAGAGGGGAAGAGGGAAGGAGGTGGGAAGGTGGAAGGGGAAGGGGAGGAGGATAGGGAAGGGGGAGGAGGAAGGGGAGGAAGGAGGGAAGGGGGATAGGGAGGTGGTGGGAAGGGGAAGGGGGGGAGGATAGGGAAGGAGGGAAGGAGGAGGAGGGAAGAAGGGAGGGTGGGGAGATGGAAGGGGAAGGAGGGAGGTAGGAAGGAGGAGGGAGGTGGGGAGGTGGAAGGGAAGGGGGAGGAAGGGAAGGAGGGAGGGGAAGGAAGGAAGGAAGGGGGAGGAGGAAGGAAGGAGGGAGGTGGGGAGATGAAGGGGAGGGGGAGGATAGGGAAGGAGGGAGGAGGAGGAAGAGGAGGAGGGGAGGGAGATGGAAGGGGAAGGATAGGAAGGTGGAGGGGAGGAGGAGGAGGGAAAAAGGTCGGAGAGAGGAGACGTGGAAGAGGGGAAGGGGAGGATAAGGAAGGAGGAGGAGGAGGAAAAGAGGAAGAAGGGAGAGGGGGTGAGAGGGAAAGGGGGGAAGGGAAGTGGAGAAGCGAGGGGAGAAAGGGAGGAGGAGGGTGGAGAAGGAGAAGGGAGAAGGGAGAGAGAGGAGAGGGAGGGGAGGGAAGGAGTAGTAGAGAGGGAGGAGAGAGCAGGTGATGGGGAGGGTCGAAAAGGTGCCTGTGTGGGTGTATGGGGGGGAGGGAGGGGGTTTGCATTTTGCGTTGCTTGTAAACACATCAAACTGATTGCGCTGAAGTTCCTTTTGAGGTGAACCTTGACACGGGTTTTATCGAGTGGCCGGAGGTGCATACGCAGCAGAGGGAGGCTCTCCTCTCTCTCTCTCTCTCTCTCTCCTTCTCTCTCTCTAGCTTCTTCCTTTTTCTCTCTAGCTCTCTCTCTTTTTTTCTCTTTTTTTTTTTTCTCGTTCCTCTCTTTCTTCTTTCTCTTCTTCTTCTCTTTCTCTCTCTCCTCTTTCTCTCTCTCTCTCTCTCTC